AGACCAGAATGACCACAGACAAGAATGAGGGAGCATGACATGTCGGCAACGTTTGCTGTGTTTGAGGTCTAAGATGTGTTCCGACAGAAAATCCAATAAAAATCGTACTCAAAATATACTTTTGTGCTGTATTTATGTGTGAAAATTACAAAAAATGACTGTTATAATGATTGCCATGTTATTAGTTAATAAATTGTATCGTTTGTTCCTGTTTTGTAAAAAAAAAAATTTTTTGGAAAATATTTCCTACATTCCTGACGGTACTTATAAGTACCAATATCTGTTTGGGCCATTAAAAATGTATGAAACGAAATTTCCTTCGACATATGCTTTAAATGTGCCAAAAGCAATATGATAACACATAGTATAAGAAAAAATTTCATTCAGAACCTAATTCCGTAAATAAAGGGTTAATACTTTACAGTGTCTTATCCAGTCTGCATTCGTTTTTAAAAGTAGATAAGAATGAAAATGTCATATCAATAAATTGGGTTATCATCAGATAACAAATTATTTTTTATGTATCTATTCAGAAATATTTCGAAAAAATATAAAAGGGATATAACTATGTAAAAATTAAATTAGTTATTGCATCAAACTTTTTAAAAGCTAATTCCTTTAACATTTTTTACTCTTGCTAATAATATATTCAAAATTAAACTTAAAAAAGTCTGCAGTAAACATGTATGTAAACGATTCAAGAAAATTATTTTTATTTCTTGCGAATGCAGCCAAAAAAAAAAACAAAAAAAACAAAGGGTATTTCCAAACTTAGCTTAGTTTATTGACTTACTGCTGAGAAAACATATACACACGCACACTTTTGTTTTTTAAAAAGTAAATACTTTGTATTTAAATACGCTATTTTATTTTCTATATTTATACACGCTTATGCCTACAAATTGTTACACGCACTCATGCTGAGCAGTTATTTATACAACTAAATTGTTTAGTTTTCCTTCTCTTCTTTTATTTAAATGTTTAAAAAAAAAAACCTCTTAAGTTAGCACTCAGAAGGCAAGTTATGTTGTAAAATTTGCTGGTTACTCGCTCAGCACTTCAGATCCCTAGCCATCAGCACATCAAGTGAAGTGTGTTGACTTACCGTGTCGTGAAGACTGGGGCTCAGAGGCGTAGCAAGGGGGGGGGGGACACATGTCACCGGGCTCCGACTTTAGGGGGGGGCGCCAAATTGAAAGTTTGAGGGGGTGGGTGCAAATGAAAAGTTCGAGGGGGGTGCAAATCAAAAGATTGAGGGGGTGGGGTGCAAATGAAAAGTGTGAGGGGGGGGGGTGCAAATCGAAAGTTTGTCCCCGGACGCCGGGAAGGGTCGCTACGCCTCTGCTGGGGCTAAACATGGTCGATGTTAAAATCTGTTTATAACACCATGTGATATGCATATTTATAACTCAAATACAATTATCTAATCGAAAACAAAGCGGACAATACAAGGATAGCTTAACGTATCTAACGTAGGTTTAGGGTTAAAGTCAACTAAGGGGAATGTGGGGGGCGGTGAGGGGTAGATTAAGATCGATATGGACGTGTAGACATTAAAAAATGATGAACAAGTTGCAAGCTATACCATTGCATACAGAATGTTTACATTTAAAAGGTCGTGTTGTCTTTGAAAGAACTTAGCAGAACTTGTGATTCAATCTTGTACTTAGTTTCTGTAAGCAAACGATGTATAAATTAATTTTATAAAAAAATGAACTAAATAAACTTTTTTGCGAAATATTAAAATTGTGTAACGAAAATAAATATTCACATTAGACAATCAATACGAATTTGAAATCACTAGCTCGTTTTGGCAGAATCGTGAACCTCAATATTAAAATTATGAATACAATATTTTACCAATCTCGAATTTATGTTTAAAAATGCTGTTTAACAAAGATAGCATTAACCTAGTACATAGAAGCATTAATAAGAAACACAAGATACATTCACGCTCAAAAGTTCATTTGTAAGTTCTCCTTTTATTTAACCTCTTATTATTTAGTATCAGTAACTGTATCTAAGCTGCATATGTAAATATAAAAATAAAATACTTAAAAAAAAACTTTTTAAAAAACCACGTTTTTCTTGTGGACTAAAAAGTAGAAAATAACTATTTACATACATTTGATGACAAAAAACGTGGGTACGTTCACCATCAAATTTCCCGACCCATCTGCCCGACCCACGTTTTTTGTCATCAAATGTATGTAAATAGTTATTTTCTACTTTTTAGTCCACAAGAAAAACGTGGTTTTTTAAAAAGTTTTTTTTAAGTATTTTATTTTCTCCTTTTTAGTCCGTTGCTACACATGAAAAACGTGGTTTTTAAAAAGTTTTTTATATAGTTTATTTTCTACTTTATCTAATCACTTGATTAAGTATGACTTGACTAAGTGTTTTTAAATACACGGACTAAAAAAATCTTGAGCGACCGATACGCTTTAAACAGAGAAAGGGTGTAATTTACGTTGCTGGCGTGGAGATCTACTCACGAATCACGTGATCAAATCTCCCATAAACAAACAAATAAACGCGAAGCTGAGTTAAGGAAAAACGTGTTTATGTGTATTTTAGCATGCCCAGCGTACCAACCGTGTCACCATTAACAATGTGTTACCGTGTCCGTTCTCCTTTTTAGTCCGTTGCTACACATGAAAAACGTGGTTTTTAAAAAAGTGTTTATAAATACACGGACTAAAAAAATCTTGAGCGACCAGGATTCGAACCTGGGTTGTCGCGGCCACAACGCGAAGTACTAACCACTATACGATCACGGCCAGCGCGCTCACATCGATTGGGGCCGAAGTAACTGTGTCAATAGGCCTCAAGTCTTGTCGGTATCTTTAGAAATCATGTCCTCAATTTTATGGTCCTTGGGGCGTAATTAAATTAAGCTAATTACGGTCACTAATTGCTAGTTTTTATGATTGCATCTGAAATTGTTAGGCGAAAGTAGCATGCATGCCAAATTTCAGGTCTCTAGAGCAATCAGAAGTGGGCTAATTTTCGATGTCAATTTTAACAACAAACAAACAAATCCACAAACGCGAAGCTGAGTTAAGAAAAACGTGTTAAAAAAACATTGAAGCAGGGTTCAGTTTTCATAATATCTAGACCGTAAAGTGGATATGTCATAACAAATCTAATATATAAAGCTCAATTCTGTATGTAAAAAATAATATGTTTGTCGTGGACATTCTTGGATGGATTTAAGTGTTAGATTATTATCGTGCTCACAGTCTAAATTTATGAGTTAAAAAATTAATACTGAAAGTGTTGGGAAATAATTTTCATTTTTCTAACTGACAGTAATAATTGTCGGCATGTTCATTAAACATAATTTTAAAAAATATCATCTTTTACAAAAATTCTAATTATGTCTGAAAATTATTTATATTTAGTCCTTTAGCACTTACTTCCCTTTGATAAATTAGGAAAACACAATTCCTTCCCTTTATAAAACATTGCATTAGTGGAAAAGAATTTACTTTTTATTAATTTGTTTTGGTGTTGGGAAAAAAATAATTACATAATTAGCGGGGATTGATCAAGTGCAAATGTTGTAGGTATTTTACGGATAAGCTTGGAGTATTTTAATTGTTCATTTGGTTTGGTTTGGCAACTACGTTCGTTTAAGTGAGTGCAAAAGACTATGAATAAGTTGGGGTACTATAGTCGTTTATTAAGCTGAAACAGGCGATTCTGCCCCGGGCTAGACTGTGAGCACTTTTCGTTTATGTTCGCGTTTGTATTTTCATTGTGTTTAGGTTGGGTTTGCGTTAGTGGTTGCGTTTTGATTTGGTTCGTTTTTGTTCTTTCTTTTTTCGTTTTCGTTTGTGTATTTTTTTCTTTGGGTTTGTGTTTGTATTTGTGGTTGGTTTTGCGTTTGGATTTGGTTTGTTTTCGTTTGCTTTTTCGTCTGTTTTTTTCTTTGTGTTCGTATTGGTGTTTGTGGTTGTGGTTGGGTTTGTTGTTAGGTTTTTGTTTTTGTTTGCTTTTTTGTTTGTTTTTTCTTTGTGTTTGTATTGGTGTTTGTGGTTGTGTTTGTTGTTAGGTTTTTGTTTTCGTTTGTATTTGTAATTGTGTTAGCGTTATGTTTGCGTTTTGTTGTTTTGGTTTTGGTTGGTTGTGGTTTGGGTGGGCAATGCCGGGTATTACACACAGGTAATGGTCTTTAACAGAAAGGTTTTTCACAGAAGCCAGAGCAGGGCCTGGCCGGGACGGCTAGTAGAAAATAAAACCACGAGCGCGAGTTTAAAACGAGCGTGTATGTAGCAGCTCAGTTAACTTTGATAACAAGCTTCCTGACATGATTGACTTTATAGAAAAATACTATAAATAAGACATAAAATTGTGTTTTAAGATATCCTCCCTCTTTTCAACAAATACACATTCAAACACGCTCTCGCGAACACATGCACACTTTATATAGTATTTATTTCAGGCGTGTATCTGTGTATGTAGTGAAGGGGGGGGGGGGGTAGTGCTCATTGCTTCATAAAACTTCCACCGCCTTCAAAGCCCTGGTAGAAATAAAAATAAAAGTGTGCTTCATTCGAATTTTCTCGCGGTGTCGGTATAGGTCACTGAGACTATGTTCAGCAGTGGCGTATTGAGGTCGGGTGTCACCTGGCGCGGCACTTAATGGTGTCACCCCCCCCCCCCCCCAGAGGCGCAGCGACCCTTCCTGGGGCCCGGGGACAAATTTTCAATTTTCGATTTGCAACCCCCTTCCTCTACAACCTTGTAAAGATTTGTAACATTTGCTCTGAAAAGACTTTTTAACACTCGAATTTATCTCTTAATTAAGTGGAAATATCATTTTACTCTATATATTTTGCTATTTTTTGGCTTGGTGCACCCCCCCCCCCCCCACTAAATGGTGTCACCCGGTGCGGTCCGCACCCTCCGCCCCTCCCCCTCTCGCTACTTCACTGCTGTTCAGCCATACATTTCTGGAGAGTGGTTGTTTTTTAATGTTACTACTTCACTGTACTAGTGTGTTGGGTACACGTCATATCACATTTAACGCTTAGAGAGAATGCAACTCTACAGCATAAACATAATAGGCCTACTGTTTGGGCCGATTTTGTGGCTTTTAGTGTTTAGCAGCGTGAAATGTACTAGTAGCACAAGCGGTGAGTTGCATTGATTTATTTTGCGTTTAAACTGTTAACATTACAAGTAGTTTGGTTATATTTAACTATATTATAGGTCTGACGGGAATCTGAGAAAATGAGGATAGGTATGTTGGTGACAACACTATCCCTCAATATGCCGAGATCACTCAAACAGGTAACTCTACTTCACCTGCACCATGCACCGTAATGAATGAAAGCTGTAGTTACTTACAACTACTACCTACTAACACCAGACATTCAATTCTAAATTACGTCATTTATTTAATACGAATCGACTATTTAATACTGTTGAAATAATTGACTTACTAAAAAATAACATTTAAAAAAAATATAAACAATGTTCTTGACTTCTTTTATTTGTAACTTTGGAAGTAAATTAATATCCGCTGACTAGTATCTAACAAAATGCACACAAAAAAAGTCGCGAGTGTACGGTTAACTATTCGCTATTTGCGAGGATAAAGAAAGCGCTAGAGCTATGAGTAGAGAAAAGAACTTGAAAGGTACAACAAACCGCCGAGATATCTTGACGTCAATAATGTCTCATTTCGGATGGGCGCAATTATCTTTAGCAAAGCCTTACTCAAGGGAGATAATTTAAAGTAAATAAGTTTATTATTAAATTTCTTATAAATACACAAACAATTCAACATACTTAAAACTGAAAATACTTATGATACAGTTTTTTAAATGATTTGTAGGATACATGAGAGTACATGAGAGTACAAGATAGTAGTACTACTAATGTAAAAAAAATATACATTTTAAATTGAAAAATGTGCAATAGATTATGGCCTCTTAAACAACGCCACAAGAAGCATCGAAATTCGTCTTCATATCTAGCGACCCATTAAACTTTTGGGTCCACTTATAGATCAACCCCCCCCCCCCTCTACTGCCCCCGTTCCGCCACAGCACAGTTTCGAGATCCAATCGAGCTCCTATTATTCCAATGTGTGAAATTCATACGTGCCATCTACACGGCTCTCAAAGGGGAGCAACAAGCCACAGAAGTCGTTACAATTTAAAAGTTTGCTTACCTTTTACTAAACACTTTGTGCAGTGTTTTTTAATGTTTGCTGAGGGGCGTGGGATAGTGACTAAAATAAAAATAATCCAACCGCAGCTACAGTATTTTTAGCGCAATTTCCATACTGGACAATTGCGATTATTAACTCGTTATTTCTGGATGGATGTGCGCAGCTTTAAGTCGTATCTCCTCCTCAACGAAGCAATATCGAGGACTAGTTCAAAAGCAAATATGTTAAGCAAGTTCCGAGAATGATTGTGGGCCAAAATAATTCCCGGAATTCCTTCCTCGATTTCCAAAAAACCTCGAAAAAATGCAGTTTTTGGCCCATATCTCAGCAACCAGACCACTTAGCGACTTGAAACATTTACCAATCGATTCCTGCAATAATTTAGAACAATATTGCCGAAGAAAGTTTTCATAAATATACTTTCGTTCGGTAACCAAAAATTAATTAAGGAAATTGCGCTTAAATTGTCACTAGACCTTTTATTAACTTGTTTTAGAAAACAAACATGAAGGCAAAAACGAAGTAGACATTAAATTTTAAGCTAAAAAAAGTTACTATGATCGACCCCAATAGGGCTGGTAAGTAGGTCTACAACGAGTTCTACGGCTCAATAAAACCTGAATGAGCCATAGAACTGTTTATTGACCTACTTATGTCAATTCTGCCCCTCTATCGGTGACGGATTACGAGGCAGACTGAGAGGGCAGTATTGAATTTTTAAAAATCTGGTAATCATCATTAAATAGAATTATATTACCACAAAAGTTAAACTTCTTTTTTACAGATATTGTTGAGCGCAAAGGTGAGCGCGGATACGCTGGACCACTAGATCAAGTATCAGATGATATTCCTGGCTTATCTGGGTGTGGCGGCATTGGGGATACAGCTGGTGCTAGGTGTGTGAAGGGCGAGCCAGGTATACATCTTGATCAAATAATCGCAACCTGTAAATACAATTTGGGGGTCTTTCGCTTCCTTTAATCTGTTTAATAATATTCTGTTGAAGACTTTGCCTGGGATGGATGGTGTCATCCGTCTATAGTTAGAGCATCAAAGACCTCTTTTTTTTTGGAAGTTTTATGAGTAGTACCTCCTTCCACTTCTCTGGTATTTGTTCATTTATCCAGATTTTCTTAAAGAGTGTGTATAGTAGTGTGGTGCTAGTTTCTATACCTGCTGTCTTTGCTTCTGTCGATATACAATCTATTCCTGAAGACTTCTAATTTTTCAGCTGCTAAATAGTTTTCTGTACCTCTGCTTTTGAAGGTGGGTTGCAGTCTATAGGGAGATCACTTTCAGCTTATAGTATATCTTGCGTGCACTCTAGTGTTGGTCTATTCAGTAGTTCTTCTTACTGTACTTCCCAGATATTTTCTTTATTGTATTGAACAGGTACCAAATATTCCCGTGGTACAATGCTCCTGCTTCACTTGCCAGCAGTTCTAAATAACTCCGTTTGTCTTTCCTTATGCAATTCGTGACACTTTTGTTTGTTTTAGTGAATTATTCCAGTGCTTTTGTTATGGCAGCCCGTTACGACTATTGTTTAATGTTGCAGTTTTTGTTAGTATCTTAATTGAAATATTATAATCTAGGTAACATCGTTTAATGGAGTTATGTAGCCTATATGTTAAAATTTCGTATTATTCGAGTATTTGATTGATTACCAGGTTTACATGGCGCACCTGGCTTACCTGGCATCGTTGGCGCAAAGGGAGAGCCAGGTAAACATCCTTATCAAATATTCAGAGTTTTATATACATTATTTTATGCTTATTGCAGAGGCGTAGCGACCCTTCCCGGCGCCCGGGGACATACTTTTAATTTGGCGCCCCCTTGGGAGCAAATTTTCGATTTGCACCCCCCCCCTCGAACTTTTAATTTGCACCCCCCCCCCTCAAACTTTCAATTTGGCGCCCCCCTAAGGTCGGCGCCCGGGGACATATGTCCCCCCCCCGCCCCCCCCCCCTCGCTACGCTACTGGCTTATTGTAAAATGTTTGCTAGAATACATAATGTGATAATTATTAGATTTCAGACTTAGTCTTCAACAAATTTAGATCATGTTATTATATATCTGTTTGTTCAATAGGTAGGCCTACGAAAGGTGACAAAGGAGAACCAGGAAGAGAAGGAATTCCAGGTATGCATGTTTAACGAATAATCAAAACCTATAAATACATTCCTTTATGGTTATTGTAGCATGTGTGCTCGAATAATTATATTGAGATAATTATCAGCTTTCTACTCAACCCTTTGAATCCCGGGCATAATTTCTCCCATTTCCTGAGCTCCCAGGCCGAAACCAATTTTCACTTATCTGCTTCTAACTTTGCATTTAACTTTTGAACATTTTGAGATAATCAAGCCAAATTTGATATCAACGCTCAGTATCAAACACCAATTCACTTTGATTCCGATTTTTTTTTTACTTTTACAAATCCCAGATTTTTTTGACGATATTTACCTCCCCCCTCCCCTCCGTCACACGTTGTCACAAAAAGTCAGACCCCCACCCCTTAAATGACGTCACACTTCAGCCTAAAACCCCCCTCAAAATTGCTGTTAAATCTTTCTTAAAGCTTAGATATTTTTCCAAAATACTGTCAGAGCTCTGTCAACATAGAGTATTTTGAAAAATTCCTATTACAGTTTATTCAAACCGTTTTCTAAAACGCAAAATAACTGCTAAAAGTCTAACATTGCTTTTTCATAATACAAAAAGTTGACGCAATACAATCTGAACCACCACCCTCCCCCTCATCACACATCATCACAAAATTACGGACCCCCTCCCCCCTACGAGTGTGACGTCATTTATGGACGACCCCTTACCCTCGAATATTTTGCTTAAGTTTTTCACCTAGATATATGTAAAGCTACCGGGGGGGGGGGACTATTGTTCAGACTCGCAGAGAACAACAAATTGATCGAAAGTTAAATCTCCTTACAAGAGCTATATCGATAACAATTTCCGACGTAGTAACCTTTTGTGAACTCTGAATGTCGTACACCGACCAAAGGAGACGCTTAAAAAGTTTTTTACTCGGAAAACCCCGAAAACCTCTAGAAAAAAAAGAGGAAGAAAGTATTTTTTTATATAAACACTAGCATCATACCGGTGCATCGCCACTGTTGGAAATTTAATTAACGAGCTGACCCGAGACGTAGCATACGCCGCTATCTAGTTGTTTTATTTTCTACTTATCAACAATTCATAATTTGTAAATTCGACATACCCAACCCTATATCTTCACCCCCAACCCCCCACCCCCCCCCCCCACACACACACACACCCCGACCTTAACCCACACCCCTCTTCACCCTGCCAAGTAAAAGAAACCGTTTACAGACGACAATGAAAATATTAGGCAGAACCTATTATCTCCCCTTGTTTTAAAATCGTTTAAAAACTAAGTTTCTGTCCCTAATTCTATTAGTAATAGTCGTCACTTATTTAAACTGGCTCTACTATTGTAAACATTCGGGGTGAAACATAGATCACCTAAAAGTTGGGGGATGAGGGTGGTGGCTAAGCTGCATGGTGTCTAGTATGGTCCCCATGAAGAGAAATATATCAATAGATACTTTTTTGGAGTACATAAAAGATAGGCATAAAAGAAATCTATCTAAAGAGCACACGTGATAGGTCACAAATATCCACTTTTTGACATTTTGCGAGTAAGCGTCATTTTCGAGTAGTACTAGTTGTTATGATGCATGTTCGACTAGGGAAATTCTAGCGCATGAATGCTGGTGCGAAGCGATAATATTGAACGAGTGAAAGTGTGACGCGGTACGCAAGAAAGTGACGTTTTAGTGTGAGTTCGTTGTTGCCGGGGAAGAAGTTGGAATTAGTCTTGTTCGTGGTATGTTAGGGTTAGGTTGTCCAGTCTTAGTATCGTTTGTTCAAACTATCCGATGTCTATTTCTATAGTGTAATAAATGGAATTAGTAAACAATGTCATTCTGTAAAATCATTTGTAAGTGTTGACGTCGTCCTGTCTCAAGATGCACTGTTGCATGGCTAGACATAATGAAGTGGTAGTAGTACTGAAATATAATATTGGATCAAGTAGTTCTACCCTCTCACTGCATAACTGTGGTACACATATAGAACCCAGTTATAACACTAGTGCTTATCTGAAATAAAGATATAAAAGCAAAAACCAAGCTCAATACCGCAATATTTAATTTGTTAAAAACGTGACACAATAAAATACGACGAAGTCGGCAAACACTAAATTTCATTTTCTTGAAAGTGAAAATTTTTGACAACTGTGGTTTAGCCCCTGTGGTATTAATCTAAATTTTAATCATTAAACATTAGTTTGAACTGTACACATTAAAATGAGAATCTTGGAGCAAATGTGATACAATATATCTCACAATCAGTTGCTTAAAGCTAAAAACACGAACCACACACGGTACTAAGCCAAGCCACACACTATCGCTTCCTTCATTCTGTTTAATTATATTCACTTGAAGACTTTGCCTGGGATGGATGGTGCAATACCTCAATAGTTAGAGCATGAACAAAGGTCGCCTTTCTTTGGAAGTTTAATGAGTACTCCCTCCTTCCACTCCTCTGGTATTTGTTCATTTTTCCGAATTTTTTGAAGAGTTTGTGTAGTAGTATCGTGCTAGTTTCTATATCTGCTGTCAGTGCTTCTGCCGGGGTACCATCAATTCCTGAATACTTCCAATTTTTCAGCTGCTAAATAGTTTTCTGTATCTCTGCTTTTAAAAGTGGGTTGCGGTCTATAGGGAGATCACTTTTAGCTTATTAGATATCTTGCGTGCTTTCTGGTGTCGGTCTATTCAGTAGTTCTTACTGTACTTCCCAGATATCTTCTTTATTGTATTGAACAGGTACAAAATATTCCCGTGGTACAATGCTCCTGCTTCACTTGCCAGCAGTTCTAAATAACTCCGTTTGTCTTTTCTTATGCAATTCGTGACACTTTTGTTTGTTTTAGTGAATTATTCCAGTGCTTTTAGTATAGCAGCCCGTGTGCGACTGTTGTTTAATGTTGCATTTTTTTGAGTTTCTTAATAGAAATTGTGTGATCTAGTAAAGAGCGATTAATGGAGTTATGTATATGTTAAAATGTCGTATTATTCGAGTATTTGATTGATTACCAGGTGTTGATGGCTTTCCCGGCATACCTGGACGTAAAGGCACCGTCGGCGCAAAGGGAGAGCCAGGTAAAAATCCTTATCAAATAATCAAAATTTTAAATACATTATTTTATGCTTATTGTAAAATGTTTGTTAGATAACATAATGTAATAATTATTAGAAATCAGACTTAGTCTTCAACAAATTTAGATCTTGTCGTTATATTTCTGTTTGTTCAATAGGTACAAAAGGTGACAAAGGAGAACCAAGTTCAGAAGGAAGGCCAGGTATGCATGTTTAACGAATAATCAAAACCTATAAATACATTCCTTTATGTTTATTGTAGCATGTTTGCTCGAATAATTGTATTGAGATAATTATCAGCTTTTCTACTCAACCCTTTGGCATAATTTCTCCCATTTCCTGAGTTCCCAGGCCGAAACCAATTTTCACTTATCTGCTTCTAACTTTGCATATAATGTTTGAACATTTTGAGATAATCAAGCCAAATTTGATATGAACGCTCAGTATCAAACACCATTTCACTTTGATTCCAATTTTTTTTATTTTTACAAATCCCAGATTTTTTTGACGATATTTACCTCCCCCCTCCCCTCCGTCACACGTTGTCACAAACAAGTCAGACTCCCACCCCTTAAATGACGTCACACTTCATCCTAAAACCCCCCTCAAAATTGCTGTTAAATTTTTCTTAAAGCATAGATATTTTTCCAAAATCCTGTCAGAACTCTTTCAACATAGAGTATTTTGAAAAATTCCTATTACAGTTTATTCAAACCGTTTTCTAAAACGCAAAATAATTTATAAAAGTCTAACATTGCTTTTTTTATAATGAAAAAAAAAGTGACGTCACACCATCTGAACCACCACCCTCCTCATCATCACACATCATCACAAAATTACGGACCCCCCTCCCCCCTACGAGTGTGACGTCATTTATGGACGACCCTTTACCCTCTAATATTTTGCTTAATGTTTTCACCTAGATATATGCTAAGCTACCGGGGGAAACTGTTGTTCATATGCGCAGATAACAAATAATTGACTGAAAGTTAAATCTCCTTACATGAGCTAGTATATATCGAAAACAATTTCCGATGTAGTAACCTTTTGTGAACTCTGAAGGTCGTACACCGACCAAAGGGACGCTTCGTTGTGTGGAGCAATCGCGGTCTTGATAAAATACCCATCAACTTTTGTGTTGAATACACATGTTGAAGTCAATAAAGTTGAACCATCTAGCGATGGGCCAGCTATAGTTGACTAAAGAATATATTTGTTCAATATTCGACACTATTATTTAACAAGGGAAACAATCTAGGTAATTTAAGTTGTTGTCTCTAGGTCTACAAGGCTTCCCTGACCTTCCTGAAATTCCTCCACCTACCAGTTATTTATTGGTGTACCACAGTCAAAGTCCCGATGTTCCTCTCTGTGATGTTGGCCAGACAAAACTTTGGGAAGGTTACAGTTTGTTGTATATTGAAGCCAACGAGAAATCACACCATCAAGATTTAGGTAAGTGTTTTTATATAGAATATTTGTTGGAATAAGGTAATTACCACTTCCACAACCCATATTAATTTCCTTTAAAAATTTTGCTTTAAATGCTTTTTTTCTGTAGTTACGGGAATTTTTCTAAATGATATCACATAGGCAGAAGAAAAAAAGAAGCTTTTTAGATTACAAATGGTTAAATTTCGGTTAGTCGGATAAATCGTCTAAACAATGTACCATCATTTATAGACTATTTCTTAGGTATAACAATATTGTTAAAAAACAAATTAAAATTCTATTTTAATTTTAAACGCTGTTTTGTTATTTTTCTGCACGTCTAAATTATTTTACATTTCACGTAACAGTAGCGGTGGTTCCTTGTAAAAACATGGTTAAGCTTTCAATAACGTGAAACAAGAAAAAAACAACTTAAAACATTTATAAAAAAAAGTCAATACGTTAACAATCCTATATTCTTAGACTAGTGATTTTGTTTTCTAAAACTGAGTTATTAAAATGTAAACAATGCCTGCGCTACATTTCTTGGGTCATATTTGTCAGTGCAGGGTTTGCCCACACTACTGCCCAGCACGCCCCAGTGCTTGACTATTCGTTAATCACACTCAGTAAAAAGTGAGTTAGAACACACTTCGGCGAGCGCCCAAGTGTCAAGGACGTAGCATGATGTATATATATATATATATATATATATATATATATATATATATATATATATATATATATATATATATATATATATATATAATGTCGAAGAAGAGATTAAATTATTCTTTTAAAATAGTTCCAACAGAAATGTTACTCAACCATTAAATTCCTTTCAGGTAACGCTGGATCCTGTTTGCAGAGATTCAGCACAGTGCCATTTGTATCATGCACTATAAAAGGTGTTTGCTATCGTGCATCAAGGAATCATCGGTCCTACTGGTTGTCAACAAATAAAACAATACCAATGAAACCAGTAGCTGCAACAGAGATCCTGCCTTACATCAGTCGATGTGTTGTGTGTAGTGCTACAACTAATGTTATTGCTATTCACAGTCAGACATCGGCAATACCTGATTGTCCTAGCGGATGGTCAAACCTTTGGAATGGTTACTCATTTGCCATGGTAAAGCTAGTTTTTTCATAGTAAACAAATTGGTTGTATAGTAAGTTGACTTAATCAAATGAGGTAAAAAAAACTCGGATCGTAAAAATACAAGTGTAAACTGAATTTTTCATGTTAGCAACATTTAAATGCATTTAATTAAACTTATTCCAAATATTTTTTATATAAACATTAAATTTAAATTACTGTTAATATTTAAAATAAGCTTTTAAGAATCATTTAAATGCACTTACCGATACGGATTCTCTAAAGCAAAATTAAAGTAAAATTACGAAAAACTATTAAAATTACTAAATAAAAACCAACTTTTAAACTGCAATTTCTGAAAAAATGTTAATTATTGTTTAAAAAATATTAGTACATTTTCTAAAAATCTTTGAAGGTATTTAAAAAGCTACATTAAACTGCAATTACTAAAGCAATTTCTTATAACAATTTTCTTAGAACACCGCAGTAGGTTCAAGTGCAAGTGGGCAATCCTTTTCAAGCTCTGGAAGTTGTTTGAAAGAGTTCCATACGACTTCATTCATTGAGTGTAACGGTGCTCGAGGTACTTGCCATTATTTTCCCAACAAACGCAGTTACTGGCTTTCTACTGTACACGCCAGCGAGCAATTTCAAAAGCCAGCCTTCCAGACCTCGAAAGCAGGCAGCTTGCAGGAACTCGTTAGTCGATGCACCGTTTGTTCATTGAAAACTAAATAGACCGGGAATGATGTCCCCTAAACTTTCTCGAATATTCAAATATAAAAGAACAGGGGATAGTAACTCAGAATATAGACATGATTTTCAATCCATTTTAAATACTTAAACTTAAAAATAAATCATAAAAAAGTTTTAGTAACAAGCTTTTATGTAATAATGCACTAAAAAGTAGAAAATAAATTATACACTACTATTTAAATAACTATAAAGAAAAGCGTGGGTCTCTTTAGTATCTATTGGATAACTTTACTAATATTTAGAAAGAGACCAACGCTTTTCTTTATAGTTATATATAGTAATGCAAAATTATTTTCTCCTTTTTAGTGACTTATTACATAAAACGTTTGAAAAGTTTGTTATTAAAACGTTTTTTCTGTATTTTTTTCAGTACTTTACATGTTTTATTTACAATAGTTATAAGACTAAAAACTTTTGAAAAAGATTGCAAACTATGTTTTTCCGACTCAGGGAGGAGTAAAATGTCGAGGTTTGAAAATTTCGATTTTGTTTTTGAACGATTACACAACTTTCTCTATACTTTGTATATACGAGAAAGTAAAAATCTTTTGTTACACGCTGACTTAGGTCTCTCTAGTCAAACTACAATGTTGAAATTTATTACGAAATTAAAAGAAAAAGGTAGAACTTTTATTATAATATATTTATAAAGAATTATTTTTTAAAAAGTTTGATTATTATGTCAGAGAGATTTAATAGTATTTCGTAGATAAATTTTAATTTATTTTTAACAAATCCAATCAATATAATATGATCAACTATAATCTAAATACTATATACTGAATTCTTTTTTAGTATTTACCGTACTGCTCCTTGATATAAAAAAAACACTGTTTTCAAAATAGTTATAACGTCATTTAGTAAAAATTATTGAATATTTATAGCGCTAAATTATAAAAAATACGTCTTGAACATGTAAGATTTGATGAAATCAGTATTCAGCACAAGCAGATTTATAAAAAAAATGTTTTATTCTTTGTTTTGGCTGCAAGTTATTTGCTCATGTTCAAGACTTTTTTAAAAATTAGAAAAGTGTATACTCATATTAAAAAATCTGCATAAAACGATTTGGTTAGATGTTACTTCATTGACTTGTATGTTTATAGTGTGGTGTAATGTGCTTGTTGTATTGCGCTATTTTGCAGTGAGTTGTGTTTGATTGCAATTTACTGTTGTGTTGTGTTGGAATGTGTTGCTTAGGCTGTGCTAAGCTGTGCTTTGATGCGTTTTTTTACGTTTGTATCATATTGTATCGTATCGTATCGTATCGTATCGTATCGTATCGTATCGTATCGTATCGTATCGTATCGTATCGTATCGTATCGTATCGTATCGTATCGTATCGTATCGTATCGTATCGTATCGTATCGTATCGTATCGTATCGTATCGTATCGTATCGTATCGTATCGTATCGTATCGTATCGTATCGTATCGTATCGTATCGTATCGTATCGTATCGTATCGTATCGTATCGTATCGTATCGTATCGTATCGTATCGTATCGTATCGTATCGTATCGTATCGTATCGTATCGTATCGTATCGTATCGTATCGTATCGTATCGTATCGCATCGCATCGCATCGCATCGCATCGCATCGTATTGTATTGTATTGTATTGTATTGTATTGTATTGTATTGTATTGTATTGTATTGTATTGTATTGTATTGTATTGTATTGTATTGTATTGTATTGTATTGTATTGTATTGTATCGTATCGTATCGTATAGCATCCAATCCACACCTTTTTAGTGCAGTAAAATAAAATAAAATAAATTGTTAAAACAGCTTTCTCTAATAATGACCTTACAATTTACCATACCAAACCGTCTATTCTCTATCACTATAAACCGGGGAGAATAGGTTAATATACATTCCAGTCAAGATACTAGGGCAGCTAGCTAACACAACGCAGACAACGTTTGTTTATATTTTTAAAGTAATTGAAAAATATGATAAAAAGTAGTTAAATGAAATCGCAATGTGTCTTTAAATATCTTTTCATATCCAAGTATATTCACATGGCTACACTCACACAAAAACACACGCAAAAGCACTGGCGCGCGCGTGTGTTTATATCTATTAACAGTTTATGTCAGCTTCGTCATCTCATTAACACTCACTCCCAACCCTTGATATGTTTACCCTATATTTATATGTAAACTACTATGTGTCTTTATGATTTTACAATCGTGACACTTGTTCGATGAAAATAAATTTTATTTAAAAAAAAACCCATTGTCGTGCTGCTAATGGAAGTAGTTAATTGTTGTCTTTCTTGGTCAGAGGTCAGGACAACACAATGTACAGAGTGTAGTAGTGGAGGATAAGAGGCGCTCTATGTTCGTAAAGTGGTCGTAGTTTAAGTAGTTACACGTTATAGATATGCACGACAGGCGAGGCAACTCAGATTTTATTTTTGTAATTTTTCTATTAGAGTTATCATTTAAAATCAGTATAGTTTATATATATACATATATATATGTATATACATATATATATATATATATATATATATATATATATATATATATATATATATATATACATATATATATACATATATATACATATATATACATATATAAATATACATATATATATATATATATATATATATATATATATATATATATATATATATATATATATATATATATATATATATATATATATATATATATATATATATATATATATATTTATATATATGTATGAACACATTTACCTCTTTTGCATGTTGGTGTATGAGATGGGGTCCATTTACCATGTTTATGGCAATAAATAGAATTCTTTCCGACCATTTCGTAGTTAAGCAAGCATTCAAATGTACATTTACTGTAAAAAGTTTGCATCAGTACAACTGGCAATTCCGTTTTCAATAACAGTTTCTGAAGAATAGTATTCGTATCCTATAGGGAATGAAAAAAAATACGGAAAAAAAGAAGGGTAAAAGAGGGTAATTAGAATAAAGAAAGACAGTATTGAAGGAATGGAAAGGAATGGAAAGGAATGGAAAGGAATGGAAAGGAATGGAAAGGAATGGAAAGGAATGGAAAGGAATGGAAAGGAATGGAAAGGAATGGAAAGGAATGGAAAGGAATGGAAAGGAATGGAAAGGAATGGAAAGGAATGGAAAGGAATGGAAAGGAATGGAAAGGAATGGAAAGGAATGGAAAGGAATGGAAAGGAATGGAAAGGAATGGAAAGGAATGGAAAGGAATGGAAAGGAATGGAAAGGAATGGAAAGGAATGGAAAGGAATGGAAAGGAATGGAAAGGAATGGAAAGGAATGGAAAGGAATGGAAAGGAATGGAAAGGAATGGAAAGGAATGGAAAGGAATGGAAAGGAATGGAAAGGAATGGAAAGGAATGGAAAGGAATGGAAAGGAATGGAAAGGAATGGAAAGGAATGGAAAGGAATGGAAAGGAATGGAAAGGAATGGAAAGGAATGGAAAGGAATGGAAAGGAATGGAAAGGAATGGAAAGGAATGGAAAGGAATGGAAAGGAATGGAAAGGAATGGAAAGGAATGGAAAGGAATGGAAAGGAATGGAAAGGAATGGAAAGGAATGGAAAGGAATGGAAAGGAATGGAAAGGAATGGAAAGGAATGGAAAGGAATGGAAAGGAATGGAAAGGAATGGAAAGGAATGGAAAGGAATGGAAAGGAATGGAAAGGAATGGAAAGGAATGGAAAGGAATGGAAAGGAATGGAAAGGAATGGAAAGGAATGGAAAGGAATGGAAAGGAATGGAAAGGAATGGAAAGGAATGGAAAGGAATGGAAAGGAATGGAAAGGAATGGAAAGGAATGGAAAGGAATGGAAAGGAATGGAAAGGAATGGAAAGGAATGGAAAGGAATGGAAAGGAATGGAAAGGAATGGAAAGGAATGGAAAGGAATGGAAAGGAATGGAAAGGAATGGAAAGGAATGGAAAGGAATGGAAAGGAATGGAAAGGAATGGAAAGGAATGGAAAGGAATGGAAAGGAATGGAAAGGAATGGAAAGGAATGGAAAGGAATGGAAAGGAATGGAAAGGAATGGAAAGGAATGGAAAGGAATGGAAAGGAATGGAAAGGAATGGAAAGGAATGGAAAGGAATGGAAAGGAATGGAAAGGAATGGAAAGGAATGGAAAGGAATGGAAAGGAATGGAAAGGAATGGAAAGGAATGGAAAGGAATGGAAAGGAATGGAAAGGAATGGAAAGGAATGGAAAGGAATGGAAAGGAATGGAAAGGAATGGAAAGGAATGGAAAGGAATGGAAAGGAATGGAAAGGAATGGAAAGGAATGGAAAGGAATGGAAAGGAATGGAAAGGAATGGAAAGGAATGGAAAGGAATGGAAAGGAATGGAAAGGAATGGAAAGGAATGGAAAGGAATGGAAAGGAATGGAAAGGAATGGAAAGGAATGGAAAGGAATGGAAAGGAATGGAAAGGAATGGAAAGGAATGGAAGAATGGAAAGGGAATGGAAAGAATGGAAAGGAATGAGATGGTAAAGGATGGAAAGGAATGGAAGGAAATGGGAAAGGAATTGGAAGGAATGGAAAGGATATGGAAAGGAGATGGAAAGGAATGGAAAGGAATGGGATATGAATGGAAAGGAATGGGGAAGGAGGAGTACGCAACCTACAATTACTTATCAATTTGAAGTCTCATCCAGAGGGAAAGGAAAGGAATGGAAAGGAATGGAAAGGAATGGAAAGGAATGGAAAGGAATGGAAAGGAATGGAAAGGAATGGAAAGGAATGGAAAGGAATGGAAAGGAATGGAAGGAGGGAGGGACCTTCATATAACGCTACAATTACTTATGCAATTTGGAGTCTCATCCAGAGACCACCTTCAATCATTACAATAGTTATAGTAATATTGTTTGTATGTATTTTGATCATAAAAGGTAAAGTCACATGAGATTGCGTGTTTATTTCCGTTGTTGCATTCCCAATATCCGAAGACATAGTTGTCCAAACTAGAGCAACCTTGTAATATATAAGTTAGAAAGTAAATTGTAAACATAAAATAAGCTGATTTAAATTTTCTTTTTGAAAAACGAGAAATAAATTAAATATCTCGTGATTTAAATACGGCACAATTTAATTTAAAAATAATATTCTTTTCTAGACTTGGAGATCCCCCATACATAAACGTGCACTTTAATTAAATACTTAATTTGTAAATCGTTTATGCTTTATTAAGAATTATGAACTATTTTATGGAATTTAAACACTCTAAGAAGAGTTTACGGTGCACACTGTATTATCATATATTAAATATAGTGTATTCTGTCTGTCTGTCTGTCTGTCTGTCTGTCTGTCTGTCTGTCTGTCTGTCTGTCTGTCTGTCTGTCTGTCTGTCTGTCTGTCTGTCTGTCTGTCTGTCTGTCTGTCTGTCTGTCTGTCTGTAACACTTTCTTTAACATCTAACGTTTCTTCTAATTAGACAGTAAGTTATCAATGTTGATGTTGTGTAGGTTGACCAATGGCTTTGGGCTGCTCCTTTTGTAGGTTAATTAAGTTGGTTCTACCATGATTTGATTACTTGTTATTATTAATTAGCTATTTCAATTGTATTTTGTTACACCTTTTGTCTTATTTAATCATGTTGGCCTTACATGTATGCTTTACAAATTAATGTTATATATATATATATATATATATATATATATATATATATATATATATATATATATATATATATATATATATATATATACATACAGAGGCGTAACAAGGGGGGGGGGGGGGCGGGGGGTGCGGACCGCACCGGGTGACACTATTTAGGGGGGTGACACCAAGGCAAAAAATAGCAAAAAATATAGAGAAAAACTTGAGGGGGGTGGGTGTAAATCGAAAGTTTGATGGGGGGATGCAAATCGAATGTTTGAGGGGGGTGCAAATCGAATATTTGAAAGTTTGTCACCGGTAAGGGTCGCTACACCTCTGAGGGGTGACACCATTAAGTGTCGCAACGGGTGAGACCCGACCTAGCTACGCCACTGTATATATATATATATATATATATATATATATATATATATATATATATATATATATATATATATATATATATATATATATATATATATATATGTATACTCTTTCGCCTGTCGAAGTTGTAAAACTGAATATAGTAGTACCAATTACCTGCATTGTCGGAAACACGATTAACGGATGCCAAGAGCCAACATAGCCGCTGTGAAACTCTGGGTGCCAAATCGTTTATTGGCAAATATCCCACCATCCTTGGAGCAGGCCAAATCAAATTTTAATTATTTTGTTCACAGAAACCTTCTCGGGAGTGTTCTAATCAACTCTTTAAAGTTTTATAGCACGTGGATGAATTTCATTTTTTTAAATATACCGTATAAAGAGATGAATCGCACCCTACCGGATCACCTTTCTCTGTAGCGTTCTTACCAACTCTAAATTTGATGTCGATCGGATGAACGGTGTAGAACCGCAATCGAGTTTTATTTTTATATACCGTAAATAGAGAAAAAAAAAATCTTGCCCTGTCGAATTTTTTTTTTCGCAGAACCCTACTCAGTAGTATTCTCAACAACTTCTTAAAGTTTCATGGCGGTTCTGATGAAAAATGTAGTAATTTATAAAAGATAGACACACCGACGAACAGACACACAGATACACACACATACATTGCACACACAAAAATTGCATAAATATTTTAATTTTAACATGAAGTGAATTGAGCTCCTACTGACAGAAAACCATTTTTAACAGAAATAAAATGACAAGGGTTTGGCATTATGTTTAAAATTTTAAAGTCCAAATACCTGATCCTTTAAAAATTACTCTCTTTGACCGCAGAGTGTTAAAGTATATTTGTATTGGAGTTCTGTCATCTGATAAAAAGAAGCAGGTCACGATTTTATTATATCCCTTGTGTAAACAATAATCATGCCTAGCAGAGAGCTTTGTTTTGACTGTTTAAAAGAGGAACCTTGTGTAAACAATAATCATGCCTAGCAGAGAGCTTTGTTTTGACTGTTTAAAAGAGGAAATTACGGAAATACTTATGACAACGGACAATTTCAGCCATTCGCAGATTGTGGAAGGGGCGGAGCAATGACAATACGATGACAATGATGGCTATTTTTACTTTCTCGTTAGAGCATGGGTTCCTAAACTGGGGATCGCGACCCCCAGATCGGGACCCCCTGGGTCTTGAGGGGCTTTCTGGGGGGTCTCAACTGGTAGACTAAATCCTAAAAATGAAAAAAAAAACAGCAACGAATATTCTGAAGAATATCTGAACTTCGGCTTTACTAACATCACAGGAAATGAATTAGAGAAAAATAATGCGTACTGTGCAAAGTTGTCCACAGTGATGAGTCTATCAAACCTTCAAAATTTAAACGTCGTTTTAAGAAGAGTCATTTGGAACACACCAAAAAGATACGGAGTTCTTTCGTCGGCATGAATTTAGTTGCAATCGTCAGAGACTTGATCGAACACGAAGTTTTCTTCATGGAAACACAGCAGTAGTTTAAGCACCAGATGAAGTCGTATTAGAAATCGCTAAGCAAAAACAATACAATAGGAGAAAATCTCATCAACACCTGCATGTTGAAGATGGTGCAGTTAATTTTTGGGGATCCCAGTAAAGATGCAACATATAGCTCTGTCTAATAATAATATTCAGCGGCTTATAGCAGACATGTCCGTAAATGTTAAAGAACAAAATTTTGAATGAAATGAAGCTTTCACCGTTGTTTGTTTTCAATTTGAAACATTAGTTCGTGTTCGCAGTTGCTTGTCTTTGTAAAATATATTCATTCAGATGATAGCAAAGAAGAGTTGCTAGCTTGTGAAGATATTATGGAGAAAATAAATACGTTTTTTGAAACTGGATGATTAAAATGGGAAAACGGCTGTGTGGTATGTACGGATGATGCGCCATCTATGTTTGGGTCAAAATCGGGCTTTCAGAAAACAGTAAAAGATTTGGCTCCTGTGACCTACTTAGGTCTAGTAATGTTTTATTTTTAGTTTGACTTTTGTTATAATACCATATATGGTTGATGGTGCAACAACCGGTTTTTTTCCGCTGTCTTACTAAGAGAGTCTTAGACTCAGAAATTTTCAATCGAGAGATGATTGATTGTTTCAGACCAGATGACCACCCCAACCAATGGTCTTACGATCTGAAGGTGACCTTCCATGTTACCTAAGTCTATATATAGATCGCCCACAGGTGTCTCGCGGCAGTCCATTTTGGCCAGTTGAATGTGAGAGAGCATAAGTCCTGAGTGTGCTATGTATTATTAAGTTGTTTAAGTATCCTAGTATTATATTACTTGTGGCCAAGTGATTCTTGATGCTATAGCAGTGTTATGTGAACTGTGGCTATTTTTATAAAGTGTTAGAATCTGTGATAGTATTTATTCTTACGCTTTGTAAGTTGGGTTTTGTTATTACTAAACTAAATATTTTATCTTGTTTAAACTAGTGTTCTGCCACAACTTTGTTCACTTATTAAAAGTTGTATGCAGATTGAATGAGTTGTTAACTTCAATAGTTTCACTAGTTTTCCCTAGACCCCGAAATCGAGCCCTAGTGAGTTGTTGAGTTAGTTTTCATTCATTTAGGCTTTAGGTCATTTGCATATAACCCCAAGAAAGAATCCGGGAGCGTTCACCATCTATCTGGCTGGTAGATAGGTGTCCGTTACACTCCCTAACCAAAGGGGAATCCACTGCATGATTCACCGGTATGCCCTCGCCAGCAAGACTCTTCCGGCTCCATTGCAAATAAAAGCCGTAAATTGTCCGAAATCTGGAGCCCAAAAAACTTGTCTGTTTGGAGAAATGGGCCAAGACTTGAATAAAGATCACTAAGTTTTGCTTTTCTGCACTACAGTACGCTGGCTGTCAAAAGGAAATATTATAAAACGTGTTTTTTTTTTAAATTGAAAGATGAAATCAAGTTGTTCTTGGAGTGCAAGGGAAACAAGACCATTTGATCTATTTTAGCAGATGTATTCGAACATCAACATACAAAATGAACGAATATTATTTCTTTCCAGAGCTGCAAAATTGAAGAAGAAAAATATATCTTGGAAATATTGACATGTTTGCGAAACTATGCAGTGTGGTAGAGGAATCTGATTGGGAGATAAATAAAAAAATTGAAACAAGAGATTTCTGGGCATCGTAATTCTCTAGAAAACGAACCGCGGTGTTTTATTCCTGAGATGATAGCAGAAGAAACTGCCTTGACACGTAACCCATTCTCTGCGTCGCTTAACGTAGCCAACATTCCCGATGAATTACAAGATGAATTCTTAAATTTGCGGAATAACTCCGCGTGTTATGAAAAACTGCTCAAATTTTTGGTTTAGTACGCACCATTTATACCCAAACGTGAAATGAATTGATTTCGAGTTTTAGTTTCTTTTGTGTCTACATATTTTGCGATAATAGATTTTCAATACTTTTCCAATTAAAAACAAACATAGAAATAAATTAAATATTGAGAATGACATGAGATTGGCCTTAACGAAAAATCAAGAGTGAGTGTACACGTACACGCACACGTACACGCATACGTACACGCACACGCACACGCACACGCACACGCACACGCACACGTACACGTACACGTACACGTACACGTACACGTACACGTACACGTACACGTACACGTACACGTACACGTACACGTACACGTACACGTACACGTACACGTACACGTACACGTACACGTACACGTACACGTACACGTACACGTACACGTACACGTACACGTACACGTACACGTGCACGTGCACGTACACGTACACGTACACGTACACGTACACGTACACGTACACGTACACGTACACGTACACGTACACGTACACGTACACGTACACGTACACGTACACGTACACGTACACGTACACGTACACGTACACGTACACGTACACGTACACGTACACGTACACGTACACGTACACGTACACGTACGCGTACGCGTACGCGTACGCGTACGCGTACACGTACTAGTACTAGTACTAGTACACGTACACGTACACGTACACGTACACGTACACGTACACGTACACGTACACGTACACGTACACGTACACGTACACGTACACGTACACGTACACGTACACGTACACGTACACGTACACGTACACGTACACGTACACGTACACGTACACGTACACGTACACGTACACGTACACGTACACGTACACGTACACGTACACGTACACGTACACGTACACGTACACGCACGTACACGTACACGTACACGTACACGTACACGTACACGTACACGTACACGTACACGTACACGTACACGTACACGTACACGTACACGTACACGTACGCGTACGCGTACACGTACGCGTACACGTACTAGTACTAGTACTAGTACTAGTACACGTACACGTACACGTACACGTACACGTACACGTACACGTACACGTACACGTACACGTACACGTACACGTACACGTACACGTACACGTACACGTACACGTACACGTACACGTACACGTACACGTACACGTACACGTACACGTACACGTACACGCACGTACACGTACACGTACACGTACACGTACACGTACACGCACACGCACACGCACACGCACATGCTCACGCACACGGACACGTACACGTACACGCACACGTACACGTACACTTACACGTACACGTTTTATACAACCGGTTCTTGTCGTGCCGCTGTCTCAGCTTCTTCTGTTATATCATTAATGAAGTGTGCATTGTCGATACTTGCAGGCAGCTATAGGGTGACTATATTAATCATTTTGAACTATGGCCTCATCCGGTTTTACTTTTTATTTTTAACTAGCCGTCCCTGGCCAGGCCCTGCACTGGCCTCTGTGAAAAACCCAAGGGTAAATTGTGTTTGTTGTGCAGGGGGGGGGCACCTGAAATTTTCGGGGTGGGGGGAGGAGTCGGACTAAAATTTCCGAGGGGGGGGGGCGGACAATGTTAAAAGTTAATCATTTGTGTATAAATTCCATTTCGTTCGGGGGGGGGGGGGGGGGGGGTTGGCTGTGGCCGTAGACTTTATTCCGAAGATGCCAGGAAGAGTCTCTGGCGTTCCACTAAACACTTCAAATGTGTTGTAGATGTATTTAAATTCTTGAATACACGCGTTGAATCACATTAAGATGAAGCATCGTGCGATGTGTCAGCTAGTGGCTATTGGCGTACCTATTTATTTAATATTTGAAAATGTACTTCCATTATGGGACTCTTGTAGTACACTTTATATAACGAAGTAGTTTAAAAATAATTTTTACACGTTTCAAATGTTGCACTTAAAATGTCAACACTTATTAAGAAGATATGCACTTTCCTGTGAGCGTGTTTCTTTTTGTTTTTGACAAGTCTAGCAAAACCAGCGCTAAAACATGCACAAATACAATAGTCTAATAATTTCCAAATACAAAGAAACAAAATATGTGTTTGTACATAGTTTTAAATAAATTTTAGCAATTTTTTACAACCGTCCCCAAAAAATAGGACGCTAGCATGAAATGTGTTAAATTATGTCAATGCAGTATAATGGGCTATTGACCAAATTACATGGGCTATTGGTATAAAACAAAAAAATATGATCACACTATAAAATGCTTTCTTAAATGTTTTATTAAAAAAACGTATACAAAAAATAAATGGTAATTAAAAGTACAATTTTTAAAAAGTAAATATCGAAGAAATTACATTAAAAGTAACTGCATGAAATCTGAAAACAAAAAAAGGTGCAGAGAAAACAATGTTAAAAAATAGAATACAAAATTATTTTAAATATTACTTAAAAGATCTGTAAAATAAAAAAAAACTGCATAGTTATAGAACAACAAGTAGAAAAAAATAGTGCCTTCAAATATATAATTAAGAACCTTTATTTGAATAACTGAAAAGAAATTCATTTTAGTAAAAGTATGTTATAAATAGTGTTATCTAGGCACTATATCTATGTATCTATCTATCTATCTATCTATCTATCTATCTATCTATCTATCTATCTATCTATCTATCTATCTATCTATCTATCTATCTATCTATCTATATATATATATATATATATATATATATATATATATATATATATATATATATATATATAAACGATTTTTCTGATTCTTTTTTTTAAGGTTTTCTACGCCAACAAAGTTATAAATTCTAGCATTATCTACATTTAGAACTAAATAAATTTGAACCAACAAAGGTCGTTAATTAGAAGTTTCAAAATTCATCATTTTTATTCCACAGTCTTTATTTAATTATGTTTCACCCTTTTCAAAATCTGTTATTTCTTCAGTAATGCAATCATTTTCTGACACTGATCCATAAGCTTTAGTTGTTTCACCTGTAGAGAAATTGTGTTATTTAAGATTCCAAATTAGAGAAGTTTATTCTTTTTTACATTTTGTTGATAATGAACACATATTTTGAAATGAAACGTTACCTTCGGAACATGTGAAGCAGTCTGTGCTTCCTGGAATTGCTTGGTAAGTTCCCTTTGGACAAACAGCACATTCAGTGTTGTTTGATGAATAGGTCCCAGGACGACACTTCACTAAACGAAAGTTGAAAATAGAATAGTTTCCAGAAATAATAAGCTATGGAGAATATAATTCAACATGTCTTGATCTTTACATTTTTCTGTAGACAAGATATAATATTTTGCGCTTAACATTTTTGTCCCAAATATTTATTGTATCCCTTTTTCAAGCAAATATCACGATCGTATTAAAGTACATTTAGAAAACAAAACAAAACAAACAAACTAGCTCAAAATGTTGCCGATAGTAAAATCAAGGTTAAAATCATATATATTAATTTAAGCCAATGATTTATTTCAGATATTTAAACTGTGAATACAAAAAAGACGGATAAATTTACCACAGGCTCCTGATTGGAACCCAAATCCAGTTTGGCAAGAAGCCTCTAGAAGTGCAATGCTAAGTTTTCCGTTGAAACTATAATTGCCATACTTAACGTCTAATGACTTGTTTGATAAATCATGAAACTGAGTCATCACTTTTCCAATTATACTGTTGTCTTTATAGTTAACAGAATTATCTTCCCCTAAAAAAAAATTACAGGTTATTTTCTTTAAAGTGATTCGTGTACATTTCAAAATATGACTTTCGGAATGTAAAATGCATGTTAACATACATATCATATCTTATTTACTTAAAAATAATAGTTGAAAATGCCTAGTTACCTGGAGCTGGATTCTTATAAATCGTATTTTATTTGTGTGTTATCTCAATGTTAACATTGGAGGTTATATTGCCTAAAGAAATATATATACTAAACAAAATAAAATCAAATATGAAAACAATGTCCCTCACAAAACAAAAATTACCACAATTTTCGTTTATTATTTAATGTGTCTATCTTAATTACAATTTGTTACAAACCTTATTATAATTATTATGAAAAAGTGCTTTACCCTTGTCCAAGGAGCTTTCATTACAAGTACAGAATGTGGAAATCCTGTAATTGCATTCATCGTCATTTAGACATCCGACGAAATTGAGAAGGTCGACAATACGATTTTCAAATATATTAATTGGTGGTAATTGTTTGCAGTCAATATGAAAACACGTATTAATCTCGGACTTTAGGTAAAGAGGAATAGCATTTTCTGAAATTAAAATAGTATTATTTACAATATGACAATTATATTTTTTTTATCTAAAAATACTTTTTTTATATTTCTCAATTAACAAAATATTGACAAACCTTCTGCGTAGGTTTGTTTTTGAGTACTGTCAAGAATCTGGCCTCTTGGAATATCATGATTGTTAAATAATTTGCTATCTGTCGTCTTCATAAATTTATTTATCAGCATTTTTAAAGAACTGTTTTCTAATTCAACTGTATCTTGAAAATGGTTTCCGACAAAATTTGCATACGTATGTATTTTTTGCTTTACGGTATGGTTTACTAAAAAGCTTGTTTCGTTCAAGTAAAATTTGTTTGTAGAATATTTTTCCAGAGTTTCATTTGTTTCGAAATTTGTTTCATTATTTTTAAGGCGAAGCAAGACTGGAATCAGATGGTCAGATGGTAAATCTGTTTTAATAGTTTGAGTAAAATGCCTTAATTCATTATTTTCATCTGAGTTGTTAAAAGCATCAATAATGGTTGAAGCTAGAATAGGCTGAGGCATTGTACTATACGTAGATACGAAGTGATCAGATGATTGATTTTCACAACTAATACACGGTGCAGTCGTTATGTCTTGTGTTACGTTGGAATCTGTTGTTTAAAATATGAAAACACATATGACTCAACATAAACAGTTGTAGTAATTCTTAAATTTAAGCCTTTACTTTATTTATACTTATCTTTTAAACGTTTATAAAATAATTATTACCAGTGCTTAAAAAATTAAAACTGGGTGTGGTATTTTCAACATATACTTCCTATTTTGAAACAGATGAAACATTTAAAATGTCGTCAGAGCTATTCTCTATTGAAATGTAATCTTCGATAAGCAAGGTAATATTTAAAGTAGTGCTCGGTTCAACTGCATCTTGGATAGAACTATTCAATATATTGTTCAAACCAGATGTAGATTCATTTATTATGTGCTCGTTATTGCTAGACAGATTAACTGCTACGTCATCAAAAGATGTCGAGTCTCTAATAGAGGTCATCACTGAAATATGTATAGATAAAATATTAATATTAAAAAAATTAAGAATATTATAAATTTCAAAAATTATATATGCATCAATCATGTTTTTTAAATTGCGTAATCGATTTTGCAACCATTGACAGATCAATATGGTTCAATGAGAAAATGATAAACCTGATTTGCTGAACAGGTTGTTTATTAGACACGTGAATATTTATGGTCTGTTATATGATTTATCAAAAACTACTCGAAATAAATAGGTACTATTAACTCGCCTCATCTATAACTGTAGTATTTACAAACATGTTGCAACGGAGAAAAAGGCTATGTTTTAGTTGACTGAATTGTCTACTTTTCGACATAGTGTAAAGAGTGACTTGAAATAATTGTAATACTTGAAGAAAGAATTATTCTAATGAGTTCTCACTCTCAATTATATTAGCATTCGTCCCAAGTAATGTAAGCCAGGCTGATCAATGCACAAAATATGAACACGTGTGGCTGTTTGCAATGCATTCAAATAATCCCTGACGCATCTAACCAGCTAGATTGAATTTTACGTTCAATTTAGACGAGGGTATAGTAGCCCAATTTCTAAACATCTGACTTTCAGGTTTGCATACTAAGACTACAGGAGATATACCATCGTTGTTACAGTTTTCTGCTTTTGTGAAAAATTAGTTTTTGTTTGCGATCCTTTGATACTTTATTGAGACACAATTTTAAAACCTTAAATTCTAAGGGGATCGGTGTGGTTTTACACATTCATATTTTCATATGTGATAAATATACACAAGTACTACATGAATATGGCGCTTACTCAAAAATAAAAAATAAAGTTAGTATCAATGTATTTTTCCGTAATGTCTTCTAACCTATTCTACCTCTAGTTAGTCAACATTATATTATTCTTAAAAGTGTTGCTAGAATATCCAAATATCAACCTCTTAATTACTATTTAATGTTAGATAAAGTGCAGCACTGGGCATCCATTACATCTTACAAAAAGATAAGTTCATGTTATCTTTTCAATTAATATAAATAATATATCATGGAAACATGCACCGATTTATAACAATATAAAAGTCAGTTTATCTTCTAGGGAAAAACAGCTAATGAAAATTGTCTAAATGCAATCAGCATAATTTAATTCTTTCAACTAAATAAAGTGAAACACATTTTAAAAATTGACTTTTGAATACCTACATATGCATTATATATATATATATATATATATATATATATATATATATATATATATATATATATATATATATATATATATATCATTTCAAGATTAAAAAACCTAGATTGTGTACAATGTCCTTTCCGTACATACCTTCCATACAAGTACTTGGAGATTTCAAACCAAATTGTTTTTCATCGTCAAAGAATATATTGCCATACATTTCAGTGAAGCAATGTTGGGAGCTTTCAAAAATTTGTGTCTCTTGTAAAGAAATCTGATACATCTGCATTTCGCCAACTAGGATGTCTTCAATAAATATCATTTGCATTTACTACACATTTTTATTCTTATATATATATATATATATATATATATATATATATATATATATATATATATATATATATATATATATCTTACATGTTTATTTTTCATTGTACGCTAATTAAAACTATCACTTACATTTAAGTTCATTTGAGCTATAAAATTTAAGATTGCTTGCTTTTGAATTAGACCATTCAGTTGTTGTGTTTAAAATGTCTGCTTGAGTTCCATTTACATATAAAACAACCAAGTGTGCATCAAATACCAAGGCAATATGAACCCACCTATAAAACAATACATTAATAATTTAAAATACCAAGTATAATTATTTCTAAATACACACGTTAATTATTTTATAGACTTGTAGAAAGATTATTCACTACTTACCTTTGTAAGTTTTTCGACTTAGAGTCCATTATTTTGAAATTAAGATCAATAGTGTCGAATACCAAATGTGCGATCTTACTTTCGTGATCACCAGTCTTGTTTATTGAAAACTCTACATCGTTTGACTGATTATCATTAACTAAACCAAACCGAAACATTATTGTGGTTCCAGTAGTATTTATTGCCGGTCCCCTACTATTTTCATCGAACAGCATATCGAAAACTGAATTAATAAAACAATATTCACCATTACAATGTAAACATTTAAATGATCCATCGAATGTAAGCAGTTTAAAATATAAACATACATAAATTAGGCCTTAACAAATACAATTTAATTTAACAACTGCTTTTGAAAATATGCTATTCAAGATATTAAACGGATCAAAATAAAAAATGCAATTATATATATATATATATATATATATATATATATATATATATATATATATATATATATATATATATATATATATTATAAAGCAAATTACATTGGCAATCTATTAGTGAATTAGCTCCTGATTTTAGAGTTGATTTCGTAAATGGGCAATATGTGCACGATTGCACCCCTGATCTGTCACTGTAAGTTCCAATCGGACAAGGTTTGCACGGCTGCAACCCATTTGAAGAGAAAAATCCTGGTTTGCACTTTTCTGTGAAAGTTAAGTTTATTATATGTCAAACCTTGTCTTTCTCTTTTTATTTACAACAAAATTTATTATATTTAAGTGACCGTATGTACTTCACGTTGCTTTATTTTTAACAAAGGACATAGAAGTTGCTTTTATATATTGTAAATACTTTTTAAGTGGGTAGGCTCTGGTAAAAAATAACAATAAAATATTTTATGAATGTTGGAAAACCTAAGAAGGGGTTAATTTTTCAAGATGACCGCCGGTTTCAAAGTTACCAAGATTTCACCATCCATTTTTAAATAAAATCGAGATTTTTGCAAATCTCGACGTTTTACACCTCCCTGAGTCAGAAAAACATAGTTTTGCAATTTTGTCCGTATGTCTGTGTGTGTGTATGTGTGTGTATGTGTTTGTCTGTAAACACGATAACTTGAATACCGTTAAACTAGGTTGATGAAATTTCATATATAAGTATTATATCAAAATTGTAGATCCGTATCAACTTTTGAGCGAGTTCCAATAACCGGAAGTGGAACTTTATATATTTTCAATTTTTCAAAAGCTTATAACTTGAGTATTATTTTAGGTAGATAAATATAATTTTACATGTGAGTAAAAGATCTTATTCTCTGTCTTCTTTCAAATGTTGAGTAATTTCCGTTGACTGGAAATAGTAATTTTTGCTATTTCCGATTTCTCAAAAAACGCATGTGAATTTATAAAGTACTAATAATATTGCGCACTATTATGCACATTTTATTTGGCGTTCACTTGGTGTGTAATTCTTTTTCTTCGAGATTTTATTCTATTTTAAAATTTTAAGTATTTAAAATGGATTAAAAGTCATGTCTATATCCCTAGTTGCAATCCCCTTTTGTTTTATATAAGAATGATAAGTTGTAATGTGGGTATATATATATATATATATATATATATATATATATATATATATATATATATATATATATAATATAAATTAATTAAAATCAATGTATTCATTTTTCTACCTTTGCAATCTAATGCGGAAGTCGACAGTGTAGACGTGTCCGTTGTTCCACTAGAGCATATTTTACATGCCAATGCGGTTTGCTCATCCTGGAAATATCCCTTTGGACAAACATAGCATAGACCAGTGGCGTTGTGTCTGTAGTATCCTCGACTACATGCTTTTAAAGAAAATATTTTAAGTTTGTCAAAACTATTTTAAATTGAATTGTATTTTACAAAGAGAATCATTTATTTGAGATTGTAAAAAAATACAAACTTTAGAGAAAATATACAAATTAGTTTCAGCATTTATTCAACTTCAGAAAAAACAAATACAAAATAATCAGTTTATTCATGGTTTGCATTAAAAATGAAAAAAATATTGTTTTCAAATAGACACTGAAACCGATACCTTTGCATGAAGTGTTTTCTAAATTGTATTGCGATAATGGATCCATTGCTAAGAAATGAATTTCCACCATTTTCGAGCAGGAATTTGCAAACTCTTCAATCTGCTCTCCGGTTAAAATTGTGTTTGTCATTTGAAAACCACTCACCGTTATTGCTGCATAATAACAATGATTAGTTTTAAAAAATAAACATAAAGCGCCTAAAAATTTGAACACTTTATTTATTTATTTTGTAAAAAGCCTTAGGAGTGATTTAAAAACAAGTCTTTCATTTTACTTGGTGAATAAGATGATTACTAAATAATTTACATATATTTGTATACAATGCATGTAGTTGTATTGATGTTACCATTTAAATTACTTGACGATACATAATAGATCGAACCAAACATCAACATTGATAACTCCAAACCAACGTATTGCTTTATAGGAAGTCCATTAATATATAGTGTACCATTGTGTTTATAGTATGCTAAGGCAAAATGATTCAAAATTCTGAAAATTAAAATGAATTAAATAATTTAAACATCAGGAGTCAGTAAAATGTTATAAATATATGCGTTTTCTATTTGCAATTTTAACATTTCAACTTTTAGTTTCAAAGCCTTTACCATTTGCTTTTTAGTAAATGAGGATTATTTTTGTAACCATACGATTTCTAAGGAGTGGCTCAGCGGCTAACCCGTAAGTCTCGTATAGTAAATCGGGTTCAAGTCATTGGACCGTCCCTGTGGGAAAGAAAAGGCGGCTACGCAAAGAGCTGACCACACTATTCTTTCTTATGCCGAGGTAACAGATACTGGTTAAATGTACTTCACTTGCTCCATAGACCGTTAGATTTGGAAGGGGATCTTTACTTACATATATTTCCGCCCAATCGTTGTGTTCATCTATATTTACATCGGACAA